ACACTCCCACTGGCAGGCGTCAGGTAGTGCCAGTGTTTAACCCCATTGGCAGGGTGAACCGGTTCTACAGAAATACATGTTGACATGTGCTAGCGTTTATAAACCTCCCACTAGCGGGCACAGTAATCATGACTATATCCGAGACAAAACCATGCAGGATTTCCAAAAAAATTCATCATTCACAATCAATCTCAAATCTCAAACATAAACCGAAAAATTTCCATGTGACCATGGATTTAACAGAAAACTCAGAATTTGCAAACTCTCAGTTCATCAAAACCGTTCAGTCAATTTCCAAATAGACATGCTCTACTCATTGCCATGAAAACAATTTCATTCCAATCATGCTCAATTCCAGAAAAACAATGAAGTTCCCACTTTCATTCCAATCATGCTCAATTCCAGAAAAACACTGAAATTCTCATAAAAACCATCACAATTTCCATTTCAGTTTAATCACATTCAGATGCTGATAAAATCAATTTAAAATCAATTTAAACCTTGCCACCATCTCAAAAACGATTTAAAACATGCTTTAAAATCGAAGGGCTTTACCATAATTTACTTACCTCACTCGCATAAAACCGAGCACTCAATCTTAGTGCTAACTGACAGAACGATCGGGAACCTAATCAAAACACCTCAGAATTAATACCAGACTATCACAAATTCAACTGAAATCATCATTAAAATCACTCTTAATCCCAATGCTATTCCTATCAATCTCCACATAACCGGACATCTCCAAATTCATTCTTATATCACAGACTAATCATTTAAATCCCCGCTAATTATTGACCCTCGATGTGTGAACAGTGACCGGTGAACAGTACCCGACGTGAACAGTAACTCCACTTCCACCAATTGGCCAAAACACTAGCCTATTCTCACGGGATTTCTCCCTATAACCACACAGCAACTAAATCAAGAAATTTCTACCTCAACCGAGCTTAAAACGTGTTTTATGCTACCCAAAATTATCCCATAATTCTTACACGATCTCGGACAACACAAAGCAACTAAATGGACAATACTTAATTGATAATTGGACTTAAAGAGGCTGTCCATCATACCAGAAAACTCCGGCAAGCAGCACCGGTCCGAACTGGGAAGGAAGCCGACGGGGAAGAAATGGAAGACTCACGGCAACTACCAAATTCAAGAACCCACAACCAAAATCAGAGTAACCCAAGTTAATTTAAGGCTAAAAGGAGGAGAACCATGGCTGTTTCTTACCAGAAAAAGCCGAAGGATTCAAACCCAGCAGAACCCGACGGACGAGGGAGGAAGAAGCAGAGCAGATCCGAGATTTCTGGGTTGAGGGAGAGAATTCTAAGCCCCAAATCTTGTGATTGAACCAGAAAAGGAAGGAATTTCATCAAGATCTCACTGGGTTTTTCAAGGGGGAGAGAGTCGGTGGCTTGGGGGCTTGTCGGGAGGAAGAATCGAGAAGAAGAATAGAGCAGACACGCGAGCAATGAGGAAGAAAAGAAAAATATCTAAGCTTGATCCTTAGCCTAATTTCCTTTCTTTTTAGTCCCTCCACTTTTAAAATTTGACTATTAAGCCCCTCAATAATATTTCTCATCAAATAAGTCCCTCAATTTAATGCTAAAATACCCCAAAATTTTGGGATATTATAGGTCATTTGAGAAGGTCAAGTTCTGCAAAGACTAATCGAGCAAAAGGACCGAGGGTGACGCATACCAGCGGTTCAATGGACGTTAATGTTTATAGAAAGAAAATGGTATAAAAGTTAACATATTTTT